CCCCAGGGCAGTGCTAGGGGGTGCTGTGGTGCCTGGCCGGGGTGGGGAAGGAGTTTGCAGGAGGTGGGGGCTTATTCTACCATCCATTCTCCCTGTAGATTTCAACTTCACTTCCGGCCTAAGCGGCTGAGCACAGTCCCATGTGCTGACCAGTAACCGCTGTGTTCCAGCCCAGAGGCAGCTGCAGCCTCATTCCTGGGGCAGGGACTGCATATTGACCCTTTGCTCTGCCCCCGAGAAGCAGGAGAGAGAGTCTGGGTGGGTCCTATATTCACTGAGCAATGGCGCTACTCTGTGCTGAGCCCCCCAGCCAATGTGCCCCATGCCGCGCAGCGGGCACCAGGCTGCACCGGAGAATTGGAGAGGCTGGCTCTGCTGGCTGGTGGGGTGTGCAGGCAGGGGGGACAGGGTGGAGCAGCTTGGAACAGGCACCCAGCAGGGGTGAGTGAGTGGGGAGGACGCCCATGGCTGGGACATGGGCGAGGAACCTGTTTTCTCACTGACCAGGCGCCCTGGTCCCGAGGCTGCCTCCCCCTGGCTCTGTGCAAGGGCCCCTCAGCCTGGCACCCGCCTGGACTGGGCAGGTCCTGGGGCAGCTCGGTTCTCCCCGTGGAGCTGGCGGGAGGGGGGGCACTTTGGGGGGTGCTGCTGCCAATCTGCATAGTGACTTTCTGGGATCCTGGGGGGCATCTGATCCACCCACCTCCCCAGGGCACTTGTGGGGCAGGTCCACGAGCCAGTGAGGGTAGCACGGCAGTGCCCCGGGCATGCCATGCCCTAGTGCCAAAGGTTGGGGAAACGGGGGAGGGAGGGATTAACTCGCCCTGGGTATCCCACTAGCTCTGCAGGCTGCCGGGCCTGACAGGGTCTGGTTCCCCCACGGTGGGATCTGGGCTCGCCCCATCCTGCTGTGCCCCCCTGGGCCTAGGTACCAGGCAGAGTTGCCCTGGCAAGCTCTCCTTATCCCCATGGCGATGGCCTCCATGGTACCATGCGGCAGCTGTCCCTGGGCCAGGCTCACCCGCAGCGAACAGCCTTGGCCGGGAGCCAGGGACATGGGGGCCGGGTAGGACCAAGGACAGTGCAGGTTATTCCCGGCGGCACTGCTCGCCAGATTGCTGTGCGCTGGGAGCGCCAGGCCATCCTGTCAGGTGGGTGGAACGGGGGGCAGGGCTGGCTGGAAGTTCCTGCCCCCCCCCCCCCCCCCGAGGCAGGGGGGCCCACTTGCTGATCAGAAACAGCCTGTCCCCGCCCTGTGGTCCGAGCAGCTCTGTCCGGCCCCACAGCTTGGCTCCCTCTGTGCTGCTGGCCTCCAGGCCAGGTGCATTCACTTGAACCCTTCAGCGGCTGGGCTGTCCTTGCTTGGATTGTGGCAGTGCCTGGGTGCAGGGAGGCAGGCCCGGCCCTGGCAGCATCGCCCTGCAGTTGAGACACATGAGCTGGTTATCATCTCGCTGTCACAGGACAGGAGCTGAGCCCAGACATGTCCAGGGACTGGCCCAAGGTCGCACAATCTGTGGTGGAGCTGGGAACTGAACTGGGTCCCTGAGCCCGACCCGGTCCCTCGCCCACAAGGCCAGACGGGCAGACAGCTGGGAGCAGGGAGAGCCGGCAGTCTCTGCTAGTCCCATGACAGGCCTTTCTCCTGCAGGACCCCGGGACAGCGCCTTCTGCTGCGCCAGAGTGAGTCCTCAGTGCAGCTGGGGAGCAGGGAGCCATGGAGCCCGGCACAAAGGTACCACAGGCTGGGGGGAGCCTGGCAGAGGTCGCCGCAGCACCCGTCAGGCCCTGGACCCAGGCTGGGCTTTTGCGGGGGAAGGAGCATGGGGTTCTGGCAGCAGCGCAGCCCAGCTGCAGTGTGTGGTGGGGTGACGGGTTGGACCCTGTGTCTGGGATGCCACCTGATGTGCTGGGGTCCCACTGCATCCACCTGTTCCACCAGCCTGGGTTTCCTCACCCTGTCCTTGCTGTGCCAAGACCTCGAGCCTTCTCCAGGACACACACCGGTAAGGCCAGGGCCAGCTGCAGACACAGACTGAAATCAACTCTGTGTGGGAAGATTCAGCTCAGGGATTTATCCAGCACTCACGTGCACACCTCCTTTGGGGTGTAAACCCAGAATAATATTGTCTTGTGCTGTACAGAGAGATCTGCACAACGCAAGCTCATAAAAATCTCCCCCTCGCTTTTTCCCTCCTCAGGTATGAATGGCACAAACTGGGTTTTGAAATGCACAAGAAATAAGTTTATTAACTACAAAAGGTACATTTTAAGTGATTATAAGGGAAGGCAAACAGAACAAAGCAGATTACTAAGCAAATAAAACAAAACACACAAACTAAGCTTAATACGCTACAGAAACAGGTCACACGTAGTAACTTCTCACCCTAAG